ACCACGTAGCCGTTTCGCGGACAAGGATACCTCTCACTTAACTGACTAATCAGGTCAAACAAGTGTTCGCAGTAACCATCCGTGTCAACCAACCGACTGAACTACTTGGGATAAGAACAGTCGGTATCTTATGAGTTAATAGGCAACAAACATTGGCGAATAAAGGGGAACAACCGGTACCCACCGCTTGAAACCTCTACTACTCAGTCACTCGGCGACTAGGTAACAATCATGTTTACTTGGTCACTCCTTAAAAATTTAGTATGAAACTAAAAAGGTGTTCATACAGCGCCTGTTCACACTAGATTAAATGTGGCGGGGAACAGTCGGCCTGGACCGACTAGAGTCTCTAGCCTAAAAAAAAAAAAAAAAAAAAAAAAAAAAAAAGAAACCACCTTCCTACTTGGTTGAAGGGGATCCAGTCTTTAAAGTGGCCGACTGATCGCTTAGCCTGGAAACAGACAACCAGTCGTCCAGGGGCATAAATGGCGTGACTAACTACCTCGTACCTGTTCGCAACTATCGGCCATGCAAAACAGTCGGTATAGTATGCAATTGGATATCAGAGTTTCGATACTTAGCAAAGTCGAAACAAATTCGAAACGAAACAAATTCGAAACATTTTGGCAAAAAGGCGACCTAAAATAATGGTCGCCTGAGTTATATTAACAGCGGGCCCGAAGGACCGGCATAAATATTCATACCCCCGGCCCCTTGGCCGGGTAAAAGATACAAAAAGAAGCCGGTCATTAAGACCGGCAAAATATTCAAAACCCCGGCCCCCTGGCCGGGTAAACAGAAACAAACGGCACGCAGGCCGTAAAAAGAAGACATAAAGCTTAAGAAGGGGGCAGATCTTCAATAATAGCAGCTGCCGCCTGGTCAGCACTTTTTTTGCTGGACTCGGCTTCAGCTGCATCCTTCTTCGATGCATCCACCCCAAGCGGCACAAGCGCCACTACCGGCTCCTCCTCCTCCAACGCCTCGTCCTCAGCAGCCGCCAGGATCTCTTGATTATATCTATCAGAACACTGGCGGTACGTTTTTTCCCATGAGGAAAAGTCGGCATTGGGGAAGAGGCGGCCCCAGGTTAGGCGCTGGATCTGAGCAGAGTCTTCCATCATCTCTCGGACCAGCTCCTTCTTTTCTTGCTCGGCCTTTGCCAAAAGCTCCTGAGTAAGACTCTTCTCCTGGGTCACCAGGCGTTCCTTAACGTGTGCCAAGGATTTCTCCAAGGTGTCGTATGAGGACATTTTTTGGCGAAGAGGTCTCAGTTCGGCCTTGAGATTGTTGATGGTCGCCTCCAGCTCATTATTTTTCTTCTGGGCCGCCTCTAACTGAGCCCGGATAGCAGAAGTAGCCTGCGCCTGATAATAAAGAATATCAATTGTCAAAATCTCATTTTGGGCAATTTGAAACATTGCCTTATCACAGTCAGAGGCGGCCATAGCTTTTGCAGCCTTTACCTCTTTGTTCTTCCTGTCAAGCGGCTTGCGAAGGCCGTTCACTCGGAGCAGGGCTTAAGTAAAAGGGAACAGGCGTCAGTTTTCAAACAAAAAACAGGCGTCCTGGAATTTAAATAACCAAAAATATGCTAAGTATACCTCAGCAAGGACCCCTGCAATCCCGTCTAGGTCAAGGGTGCCGACACCCCTGACCGCCTCCCTCTCAGCCGGAGGGACGGCTTTGATCATAGACTTGGCCACCTCGACCAAGTCTGGCTCCTGAGGGCCGGCTGCATCAAGCATAAACAAACGGGTTAGACCTAGTAAAGAAGGGAGCAAGTCTAAATTCACAAGGACAGCTTCATAAGTCTAGGCGGCCCGATTGGAGTTTTAGAAGGAGTGGACGGCTGTTTCTCAGCCGCCGCATGTTTCCTGGCAGTACCAGGAGAGCTCGCAACAGTCGTCCTCCGGGTCTTGGAGTCCGGCTGTTGGGAAGAAGAGGTTCTTGGAGTGCCCGTCTAAAAAAAAAAAAAAAACACTCGGTCAGTATATGCATAAACCCAACTCCAAAAGGAGAGTGAAAGGTTCGGAGCTCACCAAGGGCGCCCCCTTGTTGGGGGAGTCGGTTGAGGATTGTTGCATAATAGAGGCTCGCAACATGGCCGCCGCAGTCTTGGAAGCGGTGATCTTGCTCATGGCGTCCGCTACAAAGACAAGATACCAAGTTAATAAAAAGATAAACAGTAACTCATGGCAAAAAAGAGTATTCGACAGGCCGGCTACCTCTTGAACACCGACTGCTAAGGCCACAGGCGGCCAGAAAGTACTCACCATAGAGCCATTTGAAGCTCGGGACGCAGTGCAGGGGTACTTGCTCTCGTACCCCTGTAGTAGAGTCGACCCTCGACTCTACTTTAAAGAGTCCTTTATCCAGGATCTCTTTCTTGGCTTTGGGGGGAACAGGCAGCATGCTGCGGCCGCCTGCAAGAAGAGGCGGATTCCTGTTCCACCTGTTGAAGCGCTTGTTCAGCTCTGTGTCTGAACTTTCAATGATAAGGAAGGTGCTTCGCCAATCCTTCCACTTGTTTGCTTTACCTCTTGTCATGAGGTAGCCTCTGTGGCTCGTCAATTGATACCAGCAGGTACCGCCTGTCTTAGGGGTCCGGCTGAGGTAGTTCATGTGGGCGAAAGCCTCGAAGTTTGGCTCCACCCCGTGCAGTTCGCACCCGGCCACATAGCCGAGTACGTTGACCCAGGAGTTTGGGGCTAACTGCCATAACCCCAACTCATACCCATCCAAGATCCGCTGAACAGCCGGATGTAGTGGGAAGCGCAACCCAGCCCTGATGGCCGCCTCGTAGCAGCCAAAGCAGGCGCTATCATAACTAGTACCAGCCGGCCAGACGACTGTGTCTTCTGGATCCGGCACGAAAACTAAAAAGTCGGGGCCCATTGTGTGGTTCGCAATAAAGCTCCCCACTCTCTCTTGCATGGCCGTGATCCGGCCCCGTGGGACAGTGCAGTAGTAAGGGGTATTTTGCTCTCGGTAAGAGGCGGATGGCTCCGCCTAATTGTCCCCTTCTCAACTGCGTGAGAAAGCCTCGCCTCTTGTAGGCGGTTGTTTTTCTCTTCCGTGTCCAGAGAAGCATGACCAGAAGAACTAGACTCGGATTCGTTCTTTGACGAGTCCGAAGAGGACGACTCCTCCCCTCTCCCAGAGGGGCCCGCCTTCTCTCCTTCAAAAGGAGTAGGAAAGAATGTAGACATGTCAACTGTAAAATGGGAAGGGGTCACCTTGACCCCTCCCTCAGAACTGTCGGTTGTCAAGCCGCCTTGGTTCACTTCCACATCTGGCGCCTGGTCATATGTTTCACTAATCGGCACCCTGTGGGAGGAGCCGTCTGAGTTCGAGATCCTAGCAGTTCTTTTTGTTCTGACCATCATGTTCTGCATAGACACAGAGACAGTTGGACTTTGTATAAAGGGCAAAGATAGGTCCGGAAAAGGGCAGGCGGCACTCCTAGTCCTAGATTCAGCCGTCCCCGGTGACCGGCTGATCACTAACCTAGGCCGTGTCGTGTGCTTCCGTGGTGCCATTTCAAAAAAGAATAAAATAAAGAGAAAATTAAGAGTAAGAGAACCGACGGTTACCTGAACGAGTGAAGTTGACGGAGTTCTGAAAATCCTGAGTAGCCGGCTTGTCAGAGTAGGCGGTAGGCAGAAAGAGTCCGGAATGTCAGAGCAAGTTCAGGGGTCCGAATGTTCTCTCTAAAAAGTTCTCAAGTGTGAAAATGACTGAAGTCAACACACCCTTATATAGGCAAAGTGAGAAGGCGAAGGGTCACTTCCAAAATTCAAAATTTGGGCGGAAGAATCTCTCGGCCTTTCACCGAGTGACACCTGTAGCAGGTCGTCGCCTGTCACAGTGTGACACCTGTCACAGGTAACACGTGACCAGTCACGTGCCACCTGTGAGGGGCAAATGATTAGGGTATTTTTATCCACCAATCAACATCCGACACGTGGGCCAGCCAGGTTTCGCCACGTGTCCTTCATGTAGGCCAATAGGAGCCTGCCACGTGTCATCAAGAGATTCGTCCTCCTTGGACCAATTGCAATGTGACACGTGTCCACCCATGCCAAATGGGAAAACCGGCCAACAAGGCCCAATCATTGTGGGAGGCCCAGTCAGCCTTAGGTTTAACCTAAACCTAGTACTGGCACGCATCCCAAGGCATATAAATATGCCCATTAATCCTCATTAAGGGAGATTACGCACATTTAACACTCTCACCTAGAGAGACCCAATTACTTTTATTTCCGCATTAATTACTCCTTAATCAAGTACTAACTTGACCGTCGGAGGCGGATCTCCAATCGTCCGGAGCATCCGTTTGTTTTGCAGGTACAGGCGTCCGGTTCCAGTCTCAGAATTGTAACTCTCCCGCAGGACATCAGAAAACCCCGAAACACTAAGTACAAATATTAATCATCAATGGACCCACAAATAAAAATTTGGAGTATATTCTCTGCTTCATCTACAGGTTTCTTAAGTATTATTCAAGTACAACTGTACAAGGACAGATTACGAAACCAAGCAAAGGTTGAAAATTCATATTTCCAAGATATTTAAACCATTCCTACGCTAAGATTCACTTGAAAGTTTGTAGTTATTCTTTTAAAAAGTGTCTAACTTATAAATTATGATAATATTTATTACATATCATTAGCATACTTTGGAAATCAAGGGAATTTAAAGATAAGATCTCGGATCTCATTTTTTTTAGAGTATTCAGACCTTGATATGCTACAATTAGCGCGTCTAAGAAGTTACAATAGGACGACCACATACCAACATTCGAGCAATATAGCCAATTTTGACCCAAAATTGACAATAAAATTGAAGCAAAAGTTGAGACAATCCGACCAAATTTCACACATTTGATAACGAAGAGACTTGAAAGCTGAAACTAACCCAAATCAGTTCCTACCGGGCTACCAGAATTGAAGTTAGTATTAACATTAATGAACCAAACCGAAATTGAACACTTATGATAGTTTTGCTTGTTCTATATATCTTTCTGCAAAACCTTTGTTTTTTTTAGCTGTAAAAATTGTCAATGTAACATTACTAATTAGTCACCTGAAAATTACAAATACAACTACAAGATTATCTATATGTAGAGGACTATAGTATGGAGCAATATTGTAAAAATAAAATATTTCCAAAAGGAGGTTGAAAGGTAATCAGGAAATCAGATCTACACTAATAATCAGATCTTCGATTTTTTTTCACCATAATGATACGTAGCTCAAGTACTTGAACCTTCACTAGAATGGAAATCTATCTACCAAAAAGTCTAAGAATCATACTTCGTATAAAGCATAATTATATAAGGTGGGAGATCATACAGATGTGCATCGGAATGTGCACGAGTGACTTCCAAACTGCGATACCACATCAACCAGCCCTGTATACCCAGCAACTACTATCACCTGGACAAGTAATAGAATGAAAACCAACAGCACAATTAATGAAAGAAAATCATTAATAAGTTCCCTCGCCCAGATTCCAGTTAAATTTAAAGTGATGGAAATATCACCAAGGCTATAAACACTTCATAACATTACTAACGTATGAAAGGAAATATACTAGCTATCCCCTTAGATATCATAATTCGAGATGATTGCCCTTGTCTATCTCATCATTTCAGTGACACATGAACTCTCATGCATATAAATATAACATAGAAACTAGTTAGACAGAAGATGCAACGAAAATTCTGTAAAGCTTGAAAATGGATATTCATCAGTGAGACCACCACAAAACTAGCTCCCTCGGGAATGATTTATATGGATGCATTGGCAAATTTGGCCCTTTCCCTTCAATTTGCTGGGAATACAACATTGCCAGGGCAGAAATAGAGAAGGACAATATTGTTTATTTAAAATTCATTTTGGGACTAAGGCTTTGTTGTTAAAGAAAACAGTATTTGCATAAGAAGCATACACGGACACTCTTTAAGGAGCATGTGGGTAATACATTTGAAAAAATGACATCTCCATAAGGGATGAAGAAGCTGAATGTTCCAACTCGCATCAAATTTTCCAAAAATGCTTAAACAATCAGAAAATAAATAGGTGATGATAAGCTTTGCATACTATAGCAATTACTGCAAGGGTTTTATAAATGACAAAAACTAGAAGGTTAACAGAACATACACCCGACTGATGCAAGGAGACGGAAAATGCCGACTCAGGAGCACATCTTATTTGAGATAGGATCTTGCCATTCATGTCCATTCGACTAAGCATTGATGAAGCTCCAACTGCTAATATCTGATAGATCATAGTAGATATAAATAAAAAGCAAAGCAAAACACAACACAACACAACACATCTGCCAAATAGCTACAGTGAAGCGAATGGCTGTTAAATGACCATCCGCACCAGTTGCTAATGCATAAAGTGAAAAGGCAAATTTCTGGTCAACTTACATCCCCTTGATGGAAGCAGCCTAAAATAATGTAAACCAGGATCTAGTTTATGCGGTTCGGATAATTATATGAATGTAGAACAGGAATTTCACTAGCTTAAACAACAACAGAGCTTTCAAATGCAGCTAAGTCAAATGAGCTGACAGATAAATTAAAAGAGGGGGGGGGGGTAAAAAATATACTCCGTACAACGTAACATTTTAAGGAAAAATATAATGAAATGAACAATCAGTAAGGAAAATTTCAAAATGAGCTGTGTCCTATATCTAGGATGAATATTAGTTTAATAAAAGTCCAAGAAATTCTAAAAGATAATAAAAGAAGCTGTAACAAGGTGCTACTGAATCTAAAGCCAGCCAAGTTGGAATTGATAATAATTAAATCAAGCTGAAGATCACCTAAGATTAGAGATCAAAATTTGCGATGCTAAAAAATTTTCCCTGTCACCCAAAGACTCGTGTGACAAGTGGTAAGCCATCACCTAAGTACCTAAACCCTACCCATACCACTACTTAAAGAATACTATGATGATGTAAACATTCAGACAGAACCAAATTGCCCACCATTATTTAGAAGTCCAACACTCCAACTCAAACAGGAACGTAGTCATTAAAATAGCGACAGCAATCACCAAAGAAAAGGTAATTTAAACCACATACAGAACTATTCAAGGTGACAAGAAGTCAAACAAAGACATCAAACATTCAATGAGTTTCTTATCATAGTCAAAAATGGATACACAGACATAAATAAAGGAAAACATTCACAATTCAGGAACAAGCTTCAGTTTAAATTAATACCACCACTTCAATTCATGCAAGCACAACCAGAGTTGAAAATTCAGTTAGTGTTCATATTAATGGAAGAATGGTAACACAGCTAGGTTCAACTTGGAATGGTGATATTTAATCATGGCAGGTTAAGTACCCAGCCACAAACCAGAATAAGATCTTACATGATTGTCATCAAAAACTACATCTTGGCAAGTTGTAGGAGTACTGATCCTTGAAATTTGTTCTGAAGCCAGAAGATTCCAAACATATAAACTTTTTCCGCTACCACAAGCCTGCAGAAGAGAAACGTTACATTATGCTTTATGCAGGAAGCCTGGCAGACAGGAGCCTCATAACAATAATTTGGTACTATGTTAAGTACTTGGGCTGCAGATCCTTTTCTACAAAGGCCATTTATATGGCTACAAACTTGCACTTTACACACAGCATAGAGATCTTTTGTTATAAGAAGTCAAAATAATCTACTCATAAAAACAACCGACAGAAGAACAACGTTTAAAATGGAAGCAGAGGTACTAATGCTGCACTCTGATTGACCGCCAATGAAATACCAAGAAATGCAAAGGTGCTAAGGAACTACACTATTATTTAATGTCAGACCAACACAAGTTATATTCAGATTCATTACACAAAACCAATATTTCAATTAGTCAATATTATAGTTAGAATACTGAATGGTAATCTGGAATTTTCTGCCGAACAAAGTGATGCGTCTAATATATACATCACAAATTCATAATTATGCTGGTCTTAATTACTCAAGGGCAAGACTGTTTTCATTTGATCTAGCTGACCTACTGGCAAAAAAAAAGAGGGGGGGGGGGGGGGGGGGCAATTCTCATGGTGTAATAAATCTCAATGCAAACTTCAAAAACAGATATCATGACCAGAGAGCATGATACTAGAAGCTTTACCAGCCAACTCTCACTTGCATCTAGAGCAATGCAGCTAACACTGGAAACTTCCTTTAGACTCTCTCGCTTTGGAGATATCACCTGAACACACTTTCCATTTCGGCAGTCTAGGAGAAAATTTAAAAATCAGTTCATATTAACTTCTTTTACAAAATCACAAGAAAATAATCACACAGCAATCAAGAAAAGGGCAAAAAAATTGTGTGCATCTTCCAGCATGACTACAAATTTGCCATCATACCCCAAATTCTTGCTGTACCATCCTCTGATCCAGTTATGATCTGAAACCCAAACAGGAGCAATGAGATACAAACTTTCAGACAAATTTCAGTATCCTACTTTATCTATCTATCTATCTACATGCTATGAGGATTTCAAACATACAGATATAAGATATAACCTATCAATTTATATCAATCAGTGGCACTAGTCAGGTTTGCACCTCTGCAATATGATAATAATTTTCTTTTTATTTTTATTCTTTTAATTTTGGAAAAAAAAAAAAGGAGCTCAAAAGGGGACTTCACAAACAGTCAAGACGCTTAAATTTTGGCATAAAAAATTCTACCTGATTGCTGCCCGTTGGAGCAATAATGGAATGCAGATAGTCCAAATGTCCCTTAAACACCGTCTTAATCTTACTTGTCTCCTGAGAAAGATATAGAATGGACTAGTCAGATACAGAACAGCTAAAAGGAGTATCTGGACACATCAGATATACTCAGCAGAGGATGAAACTAACAACGTGCCAATACTTGGAATTTTAAACATAACCTCAAGTTTAAGATATAAAAAGAGAAAGTGAATATTAAAATTTCTTATATTTCAATGAAAACTCATAGAAGAACAAATAAACAGGTTTCATGTGTTATTTAAGAAACAAGATAATTACCACATCCCAGCAGTATGCACAGGAATCACCAGCAGCAGCATATATGGATCCTCTCTGATATAGAAGAAAAAGAGAACATTAATATCATTGGAAAAAGTGAAATTTATTGAGGTGTCAATCATATGAAGAAGAGATCAAATTACGGGGAGGATGACTAGAAGCAAGGCAATTAGTCACTAAATAATTTATAGGAAGTGATGATATAATCAAGTTGCAAACTTGAATAATATAAAAAAGTAAAAAATTCATACAACAGCACAGCCTATATTGTGATACACAAAATGGCTGATGAATCTCCCTCTTCAATGTCTTCACTTTATCCAAGTTAACGTTCTAATAATACTCGTATGTAGTATGCTAATATAATGGGAATTAGAAGACATAATTTTAGGGCAACCCTGAATAGAAGTAGACAACAAAGTGGAATAGATAGAGTACAAAGAAGTCATCTTGTTAAATATTAATATATTAAAATTTATTAGTGTCAAAAACCTTAGTGAATAAGCAGAAGCGTTTAAAGTCTCTGAGGCTCAATGACTTAACCATTGAGAAATGCAATCTTACCTTGGTTGGCAACTTGGCATAGGCTTGAATTCAACAAATTGTCTTAATGAAAGATTGCCACTCAAAAAACCCATATTAATAACCTAACAACATCAGAAGTCAAGCTTAGATATTTGGACTCACCAAGTTGGCTGATGGCCCCACAGTAACTTGACAAGACATTACCTTGGTATGGACAAAAGATATGGGTCCGACTAGAGGAAAAGAAAATAGGCATGGCATTCATCAACTGAAATCAGATCTACCTCCTCTCTCTATAATCCCAAAACAGCCTCATTAATCATCCATCTCTCTAGTACCATAGGCTCAATTTATTTAATTATTTAGCTTTCCTCTGAGTTTAATCATCCATCTCTCTAGTACCTTTAAGCAAGCGAATGAAGAAAGGTGCTCGATTTCGATCAAGCTGAAAGAGCCCTTTCTATCTTATTTCAATTTTAGTTGTACATTAGATCCTTTAGATAAAAATCAGTCAATTGACTAATCAGATGACAAAGAAGAAAGAAAATTAAGGAGTTTCCATCCTAAAAGAGAAGTGATTCAAATATTGACTTTGTTTCCAATGGCTGCGCAGGTTGACGGCTAGAGAGAAGAAGGTTGGCTTTTCCGCTAATAATAGAAAAGAAGGAAGGTGGCAGATGAGAAGGCAATGCAACATACAATAAAAGAGAAAGATAGGTGGGTGTATTGTGAGTGGATATTTGGGGAGGGGGGAGGGGAGGAGCAAGTAAAAAATTAGTATGGTCAGGTTCATATGTCACAACTCTTTCTTATTGTTTTTTATCTTCTTTTTTTTTTAAAAATAATTAATTGAGTTTGTACACCTAATTCTCATAACAACTTAATTTTTTTAACCACTTAGTTAAGAAGTTAGAACAAACACACACAAAACAAAACCAAATCCTTGTTCCCAAAAGGATGAAGTTGTTGCATGAGCCAAGAATAAATTCAAGTATTCATCCACAAATATTTCTTGCATACGCTCTATCTAGTGCTACATGCTCTTAGAAACCCCATTTTCATTGTCAAGCAAGATAGATTAAATGACATACTCTAAATACGCACCCAAGAGGTCAAATCCAGCAACCATATTTGAGTTTAAACAAGCATCCCATTAAGGTGCAACAAGCATAGAACAGAAATATTGAAATGTATGTAGTTCAGTCCTTGCCTTGATAATTGGTATAGAGAGATAATGGTAACCATAAAACACAAACCCCATCAATTTAAAAAACAACATTAACTGAAAAACAAACAAGACAATCATTTGAAAACCTGGTGATCAACAGCAATTGCATTGTTCTCCGATATTGGAGATGTAGCATACCACGGACCCCTAGTACAAAATAAAGGAAAAATTACTTAAGAATGAAATCAAGCATAAGAAAAGATAGAATTACCATGTGCAGTTGAATTTTTTATCTAAGGGAAGCCTATCAAATGGAAACGTGCACCAAGCATCAAAATGATAAGTGTAGCAAAAAGTGACTTATTTCATATTCCTAGGGTAAGGCTCGGTTATCCTAAACCGTTTTTTTGCTGAACTTGATATATTTATGCTGGACTTCTCTTACTTTTGCTGAACTTTTGCTTAGGGCCTTTTTGTTTCATCTTATTTTAACTTATTATACCTTTGTTCAGAAAAAATAAGTTCAGACAAAATAAAATTGGATAAAATAAGTTCAAAATAAAAAATTAATTTCATATAAGTTCAAACAAGTTCAGACTTTCAAATTATTCCAGGCAAGTTCAGACAAAATAATGCAAGTTTAGACAAATTAATATAAGTTCATATAAGCTCAAATAGTATAGTTACATATTAAACATTCAAATGAACCAAATAGAGCCTTAACTAGAATTTTGCTGAACTTAACTTTTGCTTTTACTTATTTTAACTTATTTATGCCAAAACTTATTTTAGTAAGTAGAGGAAAACAAAACCTAAGTGTGTAACTGAAACCTAACTTAACGGATGATCAAAGTCTTAAGATCGCCAAGAGTAAGAATATTATCTTAAATTCAAAATCTATCTAGGAAGTAGGAACTATTGGGTTTAATTCAATAGTTTAACTATTTATTGATATATGACACTTGGGTTTAAAGGAAAATGATTTCTCTTGTCATCATCAGCACATACAAAGGAAAAGTTATTTGAACTCCCAAAAAGTCTTCTTGCATGCACACTGTGAGAGCACACAATGATATCTATGCTCTCATGAGTTAGATTGTAGAATATATTTTGAATCCTCAAAAGTCAAAACAAACACACACAAAGCCAAACAATGTTATGATGATAAATACGAGTTAATAAGTGTCAAGTAAACGCAAGCAGTAAAGCTATATTATTTGCAAATTTTAATTTCGAGTAATACCTGTGTTGTGGATTCATCAAGTCTATAGAAGGTTTTACATGGGAGCCTGCACATACATCAAGAAAATGATTCTTAAGCCTCTGACATACATTAATTTTACCAAGCTCTATAAAAAAAAAAAAAAAAAAAAAAAAAAAAATAGTGGGGAACTCAGCAAAACTAATTCCAGCCAGGACCCATACCAGGCCATATCTCATTGCTATTATTGTTTAAGCTAATAATGTCTAATTTTAAGCTGAATGTGCTTATTTTGAACACCTACTTAGCATGTCAAACTTATTCTAGATTCTCAAATGAAAAATTCAGTCTATATCTAGTGTAAAGTAGTATATGCTATTGGCTATCATTTGGATTTCTAACAACAATTTCTTTTGTTGGTATAGCAATACCATCTATTACAAACAAAGTTATTCTGTTGAAGTGATAGCAGTTTATTGTTCATCCACAATATTTATGGGAAAGAGCTACATTACTGCAGTAATGCTTCGTGAACGTGATTCAACATTCAGGCACCATGGCAGACACCGATAAAACGTCAGAATTGTGATTAGTCACTGATACCACTCAATGATACAACCAGTGTTTAACAAAGGTCAAGGCACACTAAGGCGATAGGGTCCTGTTATGCCTACGTGCGCCTTGGGTGTAGTTCAATGAGGCATAGTGTATAATTTATTTATTTTTAAATGGTTAATGTGCACCCATAAGAATGTACCTAACCTAGATTTAGAAAAAAAAAAAGAAAAGAAAAGGAAAAAAGTGTTCTACCCAATCGCCTAGTGCCTAGGCCTCAGCGCATAAGCAAGCTTTTTCATACACTGGATACAACACCATCCTCAACTAATTCACTCACCACATTTCCAAGCACAATTCTAAAATCCATAGCCTAGAAGGCACAATGTTTCATCCACTAAATAACACCCACAACCCTTCCAAGCATAATTTTAATATCCGGTGGATAGTCAGATGCCTCCTTAGAACATACTCCGTAGATCGGAACCTCCATCCCCCTCCACAAATTCCCTAATAAAAAGAAATTACCATATGAATTTGATATACCCTTCACCCCCCCTCCCCCCCCCCCCCCCCCCCAAAAAAAAAAAAAAGAAAGAAAAGAAAAAAAGAACTCTCACAAATTACTTCTCCAAGCCCCATGGAAAGAAAAAACCGAAAATCTTCCATACCCAACCCAACATCACAACCAGAATCGGCCATAGAACTCTGGCATAAGTGACATGTCCTCTTTCCTCAATCCTAAAAACCACTATTATAAGTAACTCAGAGATTTCAAAGAATAACTAAAGAAAGTTGTCCATGAGTTGAGGATACCATCAGAGAATGGAGGGAGATAAGTATCGTGTTGTGCGATGTTGGAGACTTCTATCAATCTCCAACCTGTCATTTAGTTTTTGTGAAGAGAAGGAATGGCAACTAAGCTTATCAACCTACAATGAGTAGCTCATGCATCAGCAGATTCATTTTATCAGAAAGTTTGTTGAAATTGTCCAAAATTGTTGGCTTTCAAGAGGTAACAAAGTGTTTAGTGATTCATGTTTGTCAAATGAGCCCGATGCAAGGACGCCAGCAGGTGCAATGATTAATCAAAGCAGCTACTTTTGTCACTATGCTTACTTAGTTTCCTTATTAATGCTAAGCTAAGTTTTGTTTTAGTTCAGTCCCGTTGGGTATTGTTCTAAGTTGTATTATGTAGTGCTTATTTTTGGTCTCTTTGTACTAGTTTTGGGATTGGTTTTATATTGGGTTTCCTGGTATAAGAAGAGTTTCTTCTTTCACCACTTCCTAAAAGTTGGAGGACAGTAAATACTGATCCCTCTTAATTTCAATTGCCAAAGAAAGTCTATTGAACTATCAGTTTCTCCATAAAATAATAGAAAACACAAGACACTTTGACCATTTTCACTACAAATGTTCAATGGTTAAATTTCCCCTTACACAGAAGAGTTTGCAAGATTTCATTGCTCATCAAATAGAAGGTAAAAAGATTTCGCACAACCAACATGTTATCTAAGCCTAAGGAAGCAAGATACAATACCTTGTTTATGTATAGGTGTCTCTGACTCTTCAAGTTCCTTCCATTTCCACCCTCGTATCCAGCCATCATCTCCACAGCTGGATTGTAAATTCCAAAATTCATTCAAAATTTCTGAACCCATATCCTCATGTTTACCATTCTGTATACGTTTAATGCATGCAAATGCAAAATCACACAGGAACAAAAGCAAACTATTCATATGAATATGTCATTCATATATATGATTGAAAACATATTTCCTAATTCTAAACCCACCCCTCCCCCCCCCCCCCCAATGAAGAAATCTGCTTTGGGATTCTAGGGTACAACACATATTTGATTTAATATCCCCCTCCCCCTAACTTTTTTGCAAGAACGTAATTAATGGCATTAGCAATTTGGTAGGGTAATTAATCGATAAAAAAAATAAAAAATAAAAAAAATATAGTTGGGTAATTTGAAGCAATTAGCTCCTCTGTTCTATTATTATAAGTAATTCAAATAAACTATTGAAATCAGAGAAGGGCCTATACAGCCACATATCGTCATGTTCATTTAATGAACCAATAATTACTCACTACTCGTATTCATAATCCTTCGAAAAAAAGCCTTTGAAGTCGGTAATGAATATGCTGAGTTATAATCAAAATCATAGCAGCTTTCTGAAACTAAAACAAGATATTTTAGGTGATACTGGCAGAAGATTGATACAAATAGAGTAATAGCCAAAACTAAATACTTAAGCAAAGTTCATAATCATATTATGCTGCAAAAGCAACAACTGTGCACAAACACGAGTCTTATATTGTGCGATTCTCCTGCATTGTTCTTTTTAACATGATCTATTGTAAATTAACATATAGCGCAATTATGTTTATAATACTTCAAGTAGCATTTTCCTGTAAGTAATTGACAACTATCTTAATCCAACAAGCATTACCAATCACAACATAACCCGAGCAAAAAAGGCGTAAATTCAAGAAGACGAACCTCAACAACAAAGCATCATCATCATCGCCGTAAAACTTAACATCATAAGCAGGACCCTCATGCGCTTGAAGAAAGCAATAAGGTTCAGCAGTAAACACTCTGTAATCCAAATTTCACAAAATCAATCATCACATAAATATAACACCAATATAATCATCAAAAACCATAATCATCCAAAAATAGTTCACAAAATCATCAACAAAACAAATCAAACTCACTGTTGAGGAGTCGGCACGCCATAGCGCGATTCCTGCAAACAAAAACCAAAATTTAACTGCAAAATTACATGAAATAGAAGAGAAAGATTGAATTTAAGCATAGAATGAAGCGTACAATGGAAGAGAGTATGGAGGAGAGAGAATAAGCAGCGACTGAACCATCACTTGAAGCAGCAACAACAATGTCGGGATTAGGGTTATGGTTAGGGTTTGAAGGAGCAAAAATGGCACGAAAAACTGTTCGACATTGAGTTTCTCTTTCATGGAGGATGGTGTTCCTGTAAGCGTCTTCGTCCCAGTTGGTGGCGTCCATCACCATTGTTGGTTATTGTTCAGTTTCTTAATTTTCAGGTCTAATATATGTTCTGTTCATTTACTCTTCTAGTCTAGTAAAGTATTACTCCGCCTCTTGAGGGATTTTTTACGAAACTGAGCCCTATTAGCAAACTATTTACGAATATAGACGCGTGGCCAAACTATTTACGGAATTGAGCTTCTTTCAGTCAGCGTTTTACCTCTGTTATTATTTTTTTTTTTAAATTTTCTTATTTAGTGAAATACAAATTTTTTTTTAAAAAAATATGGAAATACATAAAAACGCTGCCTCAGTCAGCGTTTTTGTATCAGGCTGTATCGATGGGACGCATTTGTACGGGAAATTTAAAGGAACATTGTTGGTTGCTACAAGTGTGGATGCAAACTTCCAAGTATTTCCGCTTGCATTTGCGTTAGTCGAAGGGGAAAACATTTCCAGCTGGTCTTGGTTTCTGGGCTGCATTCGAGTTCATGTCACTCAACGGGATGGCCTCTGTGTTATATCTGATCGACATGTTGGGATCATTGCAGCAATGAATGACCCTAACGTTGGATTCACCGAGCCGCGAGCCTATCACAGGTTTTGTGTTCGGCACTTGGCTTCTAACTTGAAGACTCACGTGCGAAGAAACGACATGAGAGATATGTTCAAGGCTGCTGCGTACCAAAGGCAGGAAAGAAAACTGGTAGCCGATATGAGTTTGATCGGTCAGGCATGTACCAAGGCCATACAGTATATTGTCCAAGTGCCCTTGCCTATGTGGTCTTTGTTTCACGATGCTGGTCGCAGATATGGGATATGTACTACGAACTTCTCAGAAACATTTAACAATGTGTTGAAGGGTGCTCGATTTCTACCCATCATGTCCCTTGTTGAATTAACATTCCACAGAGTCAATAAGTATTTCACTGATAGAAGGGAATTATCTCAGGCTAGATCTGAACAGGGACTTGCATACTCCCCTAAAGTCACTTCCATTATGGAGAAAAACATTGCAAAGGCTAGATAGATCAAAGTGGAAGCGTATAACCGTCGACTGCATATATATCAAGTAGAAACAAAGAGGGGAGATAGAATTGGTAGAAAAGGAGGCCATAGACATATTGTTAACTTTCAGTTAAGAACGTGCACATGCAATAAACCACGGATCTTCCACTTCCCATGTTCTCATGTTCTAGCAGTTTGTGCGAAGTATTCAATATCAGAGCGGCAATGGGTGGACCGGGAACTGCAATCAGAGGCCTACGCAAACACATACGCTCCCCAATTCTGGCCTATCCCTTGTGAGACGACATGGAGAGAGAATGGAGGGCCTAAACTCATTCCCGACAACGGCATGGTACGAGGACAAGGTCGCCCTAAGTCAAGGCGCATACGCAATGAAATGGATGAGACCAACCGTCCCGCGAGCAAATGCGGCCTCTGTCACCAGCAGGGTCACAACAAGAGATCGTGTCCCTCTAGATCGACCGGGCACTAATTTTTTTTTTTTCTGTTATCTAGAGTGATGTAGTAGAATAGTACAGTGATTGTGTTTCTACATTTCAAATGATTGTAACAGTTGGATTTTTAGATTGAAGTATGAGATTTGAAATTCTGTATTTTGTTATCGCTTATATGTAATTTTTACTTTTTAATTGTTGGATTATAACTGTTTATGAACAGATACCATGGACAGCGGCAATAGGACACCCGGACCCACCGACCCTTCTGTCCTTACACTACAGGACACACATCGTAGCGTTGACATTTGGAGTCAGTCGGTTGATCCAGCGGGCATATTGACATGCAGGCACTACACTGTCGCGTTCCTTGGCGATTGGGTTATCGATCCCCGCATTCTGCCTTTCGTGGAGTACGCTGGCTTCATGGATATACATCGGATGGCGTTCATAAAGGTCGACCCAGCGCTTGTTACTGCGCTTGTGGAGAGATGGAGGCAGGAGACGCACTCCTTCCATCTACCTGTTGGGGAGGCGACCGTGACGTTGCGAGACGTGGCGATACTCACACGGCTTCCCATTCATGGGAGTCCGGTGTCTGGATCTGCGTTGGCCGATCCCCCCGGTTATGTAGCTCAGGTTCTCGGGGTTCAGCCAGGCCCTGACGATATCAGGGGCGGCGGATTGAGGACCGGCTGGATACGCGACACTTTTCGTGTGTTGCCTGATGGTGCTGATGAGGCCACTATTGCGAGACATGCTCGAGCGTACCTTTTTCTGCTCATCTCGGGTGTGATGTTCGGTGGCAAGAGTGGCAACCATTTACACATCATTTACCTGCAGCTGGTAGACCACGACTGGGAGCATATTCGTGGCTACAGCTGGGGCAGTGCTTGTCTGGCGATGTTGTATCGCCATCTGTGTAGAGCATCCCGCCGGGGTTCTCGTGAGATCAGCGGACCGTTATTTTTGCTTCAGGTAACCTACCTATCTGTTAACAATTTAATTCGGAAAGTTCTTACTTAGTTTACAATTAACCTATTTGTTTATGAAATTGTTATTTATTATGTATACTCTTAACATATTTAATATGCACTAACTTGTTTATTATGTTACTTTTTATGTGTTATCGCAGATGACATGGGACCCGTATGAAGCTGATTTAGTTGCTGCCATGCCTCCACATCTGCTAGATCATCAGGCGCAGTGGCGTTCTAGGGTCCCCCTGATCTGTTTTGAGGTCGTCGAGGGTCACCTACCAGATCGAGTCATGCGATAGTTTGGACTACGACAGACTGTCCCCCAGCAGTGTGACACTAGTGTCCGGCTGCACCGCATTGACCGTCGGGGAAAGAGCGACAGGAATTGGCGGACGGAGCATGCCCAGTACATTGACTTGTGACATCGACGGTTGGAGTTCGTCGTCACTGGTGACCCCATCCACGTCGTTATGGATCCATACGATCCATACATGGAGTGGTACATGCGGATTACACGGCGTTTCATCAACCCCAGATACACACCGCCATCCGCACATTACCATCCATCCTTTGACGTGATCAGGGGATATGTAAGTGTATTTGATTAACTTATTTTTATCAATTTTAAATTTGTATATCATTCAACTAACTCATCCTTAATTACTGCAGGCGTTGGATATGACGGCGATGGTTGACACACTGTCGGACGTCCTTCCAGGCATACCTGAGCCGCCCAGAGCACAGGTCGAGCGGGTGCGAGATATGGGCATGGCTACCTTGCAGAGATATGGTCACGCCTATCTCGTCCACCCCCGGGACGATCATGGCGGCCACTCTAGTCACTCACAGTTCGAGGCTGGCCAGAGTAGCTGTGGGGGTGATCCTTCGTCATTCACGGGCGCAGAGGAGTACGACATTCGCAGTTCCGCGCCCCTACGTCATCCTGATGACCCATCTTCCAGCCAGCTGACTCCGCCAGTACGCCCGAACCCATTTACCACGGTCCGTCACTACAGCCGTCGTCAAAGGCCGAGAGTGGACATACAGGATAGAGAGCCGTTACACCAAATTGATGAGTCAGAATAGGATAGAATTATCTGATTTATTTGCTGTAATGACCTCTAGTTTGTTGTACATAACACTTACATTACATTATTATTTTAATAATTATTTGAATGAATTTATGTCTTGTTTGAATTTCAAATTCCTTATTTTGTCCACGTTTGACTCATTTCGTTCAAAATAAATTGTGGATGTGGTGGTGGTGGATGTGGAGGAGGATGGGTGGTGGAGGTGATGGATGTGGAGGAGGAGGGTGGTGGAGGTGGTGGAGGATGTGGAGGAGGAGGGTGATGGTGGTGGTGGATGTTGAGGAGGAGGGTGGTGGTGGTGGTGGTGGATGTGGAGGAGGAGGGTGATGGTGGTGGTGGATGTGGATGTGGAGGAGGAGGGTGGTGGTGGTGGTGGTGGTGGTGGTGGATGTGGAGGAGGAGGGTGGTGGTGGTGGTGGTGGTGGTGGTGGTGGTGGATGTGGAGGAGGAGGGTGGTGGTGGTGGTGGATGTGGAGGAGGAGGGTGGTGGAGGTGGTGGATGTGGAGGAGGAGGGTGGTGGTGGTGGTGCATGTGGAGGAGGAGGGTGGTGGTGTTGGTGGATGTGGAGGAGGGTGGTGGTGGTGGTGCATGTGGAGGAGGAGGGTGGTGGTGTTGGTGGATGTGGAGAGGGTGGTGGATGTGGAAGGGGCTGCACTGGTTGCTGTTGGGGGCCTGCTGTTGCTGCCTTCAGCCAGCAGATAAAACGCTGACTGAGGCAGCGTTTTATGATTAGGCGTAAAACGCTGACTCCGTCAGCGTTTTTCTCTGTTATGGATACAAGAAAACGCTGACTGAGTCAGCGTTTTATTGTATTTCCAATTTTTTTTTTTAATTTGTATTTCACAAAATACGAAATTTTTATAAAAAAAATAATAACCAAAGTAAAAACGCTGACCGAGGCAGCGTTTTATGTCAGAAGCTCAGTTTCGTAAATAGTTTGGCCACGCGTCTAGATTGGTAAATTGTTTGCCAATTAAACTTACTTTCGTAAAAAATCCCCTCTTGAGTGTAAGGCTTTTAAAATTAACAGTGTCTGCGGACATATTCAGCAAAATTAGTTTTTATTAGCGTTTTGTAAAAATAAAGAAAATTTGTTGTTTAATTGACAAAATTAGTTTTTATTAGCGATCGGTAGAAATAAAGTAAATTTGTTGTTTAATTGAGTCAAAATTGGAAAGGACTTCCACCATGAAGGTCGAATAGTTTCTAACATAAATGTGTTTCATATCGTGTTGTCATGTCGAGTTAACTTTTATTCTAGAAGATTGTTATTGCTATTTATACTAGACTACGAGATAAGACATGGGATAGTGTATGTTTTTAAGAGCCTTCTAAGTGCTTTCCAAGCGCCTTCCAAGCTCTACAGTTAAGTTGACATTTTGACTCAAGTAGACATTGAGAGCATTATAATCATCAAGACACAAAGTCAAAGTCAATGTTATAAGCATCAAAATCATCAATAATTGGAGAAACTCTTCACTATGCCCCCAACTTTGACAAATTTAATGTAATTACTTTGCTAAGCAGGTAAGAGATCAACTGTTTAATATTTAATAACAGATTGACTGTTATTACCCTTCATTTCTACATAATTGTGGTTCCTGATAATACATACAGTCTAAAAATGGAAAATCTCCTGACTCCTTTGGTGAGCTTTACTGACAGTGTATATATGTCAATAGCTAAAAGGGTAAATCATTATAAGAATTTCCAGCAGAGGATCCGGGGAATGGTGGATAAACTTGAGGAGCTGAAGGATACAAGGGATGACTTGAAGAGGGAGATTGAACAAGCCGAGTTCCAGGGATTGATGAGCACTAAACAGATCAAAGGATGGCTGGAAAGAGTAGAAAAGGCAGAAGCTGAGGCAAATCTGGTTCTTGCACAGCCTATAAAGCAGTTGATGTGCTGTAGACAACCAAGTTGCAGATCAAGATACAGGCTCAGCAAAAAAGCCTTGCAGAAGGAAACTGAAATTAGTGAGCTGATCACTAAAAAGACAACTTTGGATGTCCTTGTGCAAGGCTTGCCACAAATTGACCCTATACCATGTGTGCCAACTTTCGGCTTGAATTCAGCTCTGGAGATGGCAGTCCAAAACATTGCAGATGATGGAGCAGGAATGATTGGAATTTACGGAATAGGAGGAGTAGGGAAGACGACGTTCTTGAAAGAGATCAACAATGAGTATATATCAAGGTCTGATGAATTTGAGGCAGTGATTTGGGTCACAGTCTCCAAGGATTATAGCCTGGAAAGAATACAGCGCGCTCTTATCTCAAGGTTGGGTTTGTCTTTTGATGCAGCAGAAAGCCAAGAGCAACTAACTTCAAGGATATACAGCTTCCTGAGGAGGATTAAGTTCTTGCTCCTGCTTGATGATTTGTGGCGAAGACTTGATCTTGAAAATATAGGGATACCTTTGCCTGACAAGACAAACAGATGCAAAGTGTTATTCACAACTCGCTCTATGGATGTTTGCAGTGATATGGATGCAAATACGAAGCTGAAGGTTGACTTCTTGAATGAGGAGCATTCGTGGTGCCTCTTTTGTGACAAAGCAAATCAGACAGATATAATCAACAACTCTGATTTAAAGCCTTATGCTGAAGCCATTGTCAAAAGATGTGGGGGTCTGCCACTTGCTCTCATCACTATAGGAAGGGCCATGGCCAACAGGAAGACGGAGGAGGAATGGAAGTATGCAATCGAAGCACTGGACAATGCCCCATCAGAATTGCGAGGTATGCAAGATGTTTTTACCATACTGAAATTTAGTTATGAAAATTTGCAAGATGATACTTTGAAGATATGCTTTTTGTATTGTGCTTTATTTCCTGGGGACTATCCACTCGAGAAAGAACAACTCATAGATTATTGGATTGGAGAAGGATATTTAGATGGCTCAAATGAAGATAGTCTCCATAACAAGGGGCATGCTGTTATTGGTTCTTTGAAGGTTGCATGTTTGCTAGAAAGCGGTGAAGATGACACCCAGATAAAAATGCATGAAATTGTCCGAAGCTTTGCTGTATGGATAGCATCATATGAAGGAAAGAACATGGAGAAGGTTGTGGTGCAAGGTTGCAGTGGACTATCGGAATTACCAGATGTTAAAAAGTGGAAAGTGGCTGAGAAGATCTCCTTGTTGGGTAATGAGATAACCATGCTTACAGCAGGGCCTGTTTGCCTTAACTTATCATCCTTGTTGCTTCATTGGAATCGTAGTTTAAGCAAAATCTCTAATGAATTTTTCCATTATATGCCGGTCCTTAAGGTGCTGGACTTATCAGTAACTAGTATCAAAGAAGTTCCAGCAAGTATTGGTCAATTGGTTGAGTTACGTTATCTTGATCTGTCAAGGACTAAGATAACTGCACTCCCAGAAGACATAGGCCGTTTATCAAAGTTGAGGCACTTGGATTTGCAGCGAACTCATTCACTAAGAAAGATTCCGAGAAAGGCAATTTTACAGCTCAAAAACCTGAGGGTCCTAAATTTGTATTACAGTTATGGAGAATGGGACATGTCACATAATGAGGGTGAAGGGCTGATGAAATTTGAAGACCTGCAATATTTGAACCTAACTGCTCTCGGTATTACCATGACTGAATTTTCTGCCTTGACGAAGCTTTCTAGTTTCTACAATATATTAGACTGTATTCAGTACCTTTTTATTAAAGGATGTGAGGGATTGATCTATCTAATGGTAGCAACTGTGTATGGTGGCGGAGAGAGATTAAGACGGCTAAACATCTATGGTTGTTGCACTTTAAAAGAAATAGACTTGGGCTCGGAAGCTGGGAAAGATTGGCTTCCAAGCCTGGAAGTTTTATCTTTACATGCTCTTCCCAACTTGACTACCATATGGAGGAACTCTGCATCTCCAAAATGTCACAAAAATCTCCGCTACATTAATATATGGTACTGCCCCAAGTTGAAGAATGTCTCCTGGATCCTTCAACTCCCAAGGCTTGAGAAACTATATGTATTCTACTGTGAAGAAATAGAAGAAATAATAGGAGAAAACGACGTTACAGGAGGATCATTAGAGCTACCATTCCTTAGTCTTAAGACTATATCTTTCCGAGGACTCCCTAAATTGAAGAGCATTTCCAAAGAAGCACTTTCCTTTCCTGTGCTAAACACAATTGCTCTGATCGAGTGTCCACAGCTTAAAAAGCTACCATCTGCAGCATATAACTCGTCAGATTTTCCGATAGTGTACTGCAGCAGGGAATGGTGGGAGAACTTGGAATGGGATATTGCTGCTGCTAGCTCTGCCCTACATCCTCAATTCATAGCAATTTGATTGCGCGTCATCAGAGTTACATCACTCTTTGTATGCATCATCAACTGATTTTTTGTATCACAGCTATTAATTTTCTGCTCTGAACATATATATAGAAGTACAACTTGTCTGAGGATGCTTGATATAGGCCAATTGCCTAATAATTTCAGAAGGGGGAAAGCTAAGTCAGACTTTGATTAGCTGCATTGAATAGCTTATTTTTATACTAATCCATATCAGTCAGTCTGAAGATTGCTAGCCTCTTGTTTGAGTGTAAGAGTAAACATTGTAATCCAATCTACCTTCACTCCATTTATATTTTCATGCTTGGGCATGACGTGTCACTGTTGTATTTTCAGCTTGTTACAATGAAATCAGTACAATTAGGAAGAATGGTAAGCTCCATCATATCCACTCTCAAGCATTTTTCATATACAGACCCATAAACATAGAAGCAACAAAGCAGATGACAATAATCAACAAATGATTACTTTATAATCATTCTGGTTTGGTATTGTTATGCTCAATATGTTGTTATGTGATATATTTGCAGAGTAACATATATAACCATATAGATTTTTCACTAAAGCATCCATAGACCATAGATAAGTAGTACCCTTTCACAAATACAGTGATGCTTTGTATGTATGATTGTAACATTTGTAAGGATTACTTTTTTCATTCCTTAATGTTAGGTTGTACTTCAATAGTACTACGTACCTTTAGTGGAGACACGTTATGGATTTATATTTATTACAGTAAACTAAACAGTATTCCCTTTGTCCCTAAATATTTGCCCCAATTTTATTTTTATCCGTCCCTTTAAGTTTGTCCTATACCATTTTTTTGTTGTGAAAACCACAACTTTACTCTCACAATCACTACATCTATTTCCACCACTTTTCTCTCTCATCAACTCAATTTCAACCAAAAATTAAAAAGGTAATTCCACCCCTTTAGAGCAAATAAATAGAGGACAAAAGGAGTATTAAAAATTCAAATGGTAGATAGTAAAGGTAAGGAATTTATATGTAATTTTGTTAGGAATATCTCATCACAATCTCCTATTTAATTTCATTTGAGGGATGATTGTCCGGTTTTGGTTTGTGGTCATGAAATGATCTCCCTCAACTTTTGTTCGCCTTATCCCAAGTCAAGTAGTATCTAGTAACTAATGATAAATCTATCTTTGAGATAAGGTTAAATAATGTAATTTGTAAAGTTTTTGCCGTGCTAACAAGAACTTTGTTTTTATTCAATTGTCTATTGAAAACTGACTCATGAATTCACTCTCAATATTGGACTGTATTATCCTTCCCTAACCCCATGCCAGATTCAACAATCAAAAACCCTTACTTGCCAAATTGAGACCAATTTTGACGCAGCTAGTATGGTAGGACGAACAAAGGTCAATCGAAGTGACATTAAAAGTAAAATATCACATGTCATATAGAAAGATTTTCAACTCTTTTATTTACATATCTTTAGTAGGATGTGTTTAATAATTTACCTAGTCAATTCGAGGAAAAAAACGTTAGTGTCATTTTGAGCCTTTCACAGTGTAATGGAGATAAATTACTCACAAATTTGGTAAATTTCCTAAGAATCCTAACACTTGATTAGAGTTCTAGCATTTATGTAAAAGTGCAGACTAATTTATTTACTTAGTGGACATTAAAAACAAAACAAAATAAACAATGATCGACTCTTGAACCGGATTAACAGCACAACGCAGATATAGAAAAAAAAATTGCATAAAGTTAGACAAAAATAAGATATGCAGTTGTCCTGATCTTCCAACTATGATTTATATTTACACACTTAAATGATACAGTCATCTATGCTGCTCACTACGAAAATTTCAACTGCATTTTTTTCTCTAACACAACTAAAATGCATGTTACTACTGTGTACAGCACTGCAGCTCCTTGAGAGACAGGAAGCTGCAAACTATGCACCACATTCCAACTTTATGCTGGTGAACATGCTATGGTTGCATATTTACTCAAGAACTGTTGCTGATATCGGTTCAATATGTAAATCCCACTCTGACATATCATGCAACAAGGAGGAGTTCACCACAAGTACCTGCAACCAAGAAATAGAAGATGAAGCGCTGCATAAGCGGGGAAGGGAACAAATGAAGAGCTTAAAAAATAGAACTTTACATCTTTCAAAGATCTCTTTTGCCATCTGCAGAACTGAATCTGTTTCTTCTGCCAACTTTAAGAATTTCTCCAAATCCTTCACAGCTTCAGCTGCTATTGATGAAGTGTATTCTGCTTCAACAACCTTGTAGGCTGCAGTCTTTGCTGCTTCTTCTACCGACTCACCAGCCTTAGAATAGACAATGGGTGGATGCTGTCTGGCCCAAATGCCTTTCTGACCGCTAGCATTTGTCTCCAATGAATTATTTTTAAGCCTGAAGTGGCTATCAACCTGCAATATCAAACCATACAGATTTCAATCAGGGCACTATACAGACTCGTCAAAAGGACAACAATCATCATATTTACGCCCTACATCTCAACTACTTGGATATACCCCTGTTCAAATTTCTCAGCATTGGTCACAAGTTAGTAAAAACACAGAAGGTTAAACAATAGAACTACAATAACAATCTCCTGAATGAAACATCTAAATATTGTACGTGATAATGTTTTAGAAGAACCCCCACCCCCCAAAAAAAAAAAAAAAAACAAAAAACAAAAAAACAAATAGTAAAATATAGTTCAGCCATTATGTTCTTGGAATATTTACAGATGGGTATAAGGGGGAAAAGAAGTAGATTATATTATGCGCGCGCGCGCACACACACAAATAAAATAAAATAAATAATAATAAAAAATAAAACATCATTAAGAATGTGAGACCTTGCTGCTTATCTTATCAAGAGAAATGATGAATCTACTTCCATAATAATCCAAATCTCATTAATTTCTTTTAGTTGGTTGCAAGTATGATAAAGAGAGATTAAATGGAATTTAAAAATACATCTGAGGCACATGCCTTGTAACTTTGTAAGTTCTGCAACTTTCTAATTTTTATCTAAGAGCAGCATAATTAACAGAAATGAGGAATGCAGTGACACACGTGCATAATAACTGGAAAACAGACATTGTCTAAAACCTTGACTCTTTTTTCCAAAGAAGAGAAATTAGTTAATTACAAGTTAAAGTTTTACCTTCTCAAGTTTATCCTGAGAACAGAGTCTTCTCAACCTTGCCCCCAACTGTTTCCTAAAATTTTGCGGTACTGGAACATCACTCCTTTTCTGCACAGATAATATATAGGAAAATGAAATTAGTTTATTTACACAAGTGAATGTTAAAGGTTTCGATAATAACATAAGATTATGAAATCATAAGGCAAACTACATTAATAATGTTAATGCATTTAGGTTCTTGATAGAGTTCAACTTCTCAACCAACAGATATTACTATGGTAAATGTTTAATTAGCTTCAACCTCAGGAAGTTTTTTGGCTTCACAACAATATGGACATGCTGTGCGGCATATTGCTCTCCCATAGTATGATGGAGAACTAGCTTACCAGAAATCTAATTATAGCCAGTAGACACAACAATATCTTACCACACTCAGCCCTTTACTTTTAACCATAGTCAAGGACAAATTGAAGAGTTCAATTCAAGATTTTATTCCATGGTGCATGATGTTTGCGGATGATATTATGTTAATTAATGAGATGAAAGAAGACGTGGAAAGTAAGTTGGAATTGTGGAAACGAACTCTATCAAGGCTTTAAGCAGAGCAGAAGTAATACAGAATATTAGGAATGTAAGTTGTCAGACAACAGTGTGACCCTTCAAAAATAGAGAACCTAGATAGTCGTAACAATGTCATATCTGAGTACAAAACTTTTGGCGGATCCGAGTAGCATATCCCTTCAAAACTTTTGGCCAGCCCAATTAGGAAGATACGATGAAAGACATGGGGAAGGGAGGGGGGGGGAGTAAGAGAGAATTTGGTCAAAAAAGGAACAAAAACACTATAGATAAAGAGAGGACCAAAATTCCTCTATCATCAAGATGTCACATAAAACAGAACTCTATCCAGTTAGTTCATTCAAAAGGTACATGGATTGATCGTTTTAAAAAAAAATATTGTCCCACAAATCCACAATAAAGTTTGGTTAGATTCTCAGTCCTATCCAGCTAGGAAAATGTCACATTAAACAGAGTACCAACCATTTGGTGCGTCCAGATGGACATTAAAGTTAATTGTAACATGGGTTTAAAGAGAAACATGTCAAACTAATTTAGCTACAATGAAGTTCAATTAGATTGCCAGATTGCTGAAGATTCAAGCAGTCCTCTCTAATAATAAAATCCAAACCCATCATGTCTCGTAAATCTCACATAAGATACTTGCAGATGCTGAAAATCAGCCCTCTCTATCTGCAACTATGTTAATTTTTTTATTAGAAAGGATCTTTGTTAACATGAAGAGAGAAATACAACAATAAGATAAGGTATTTAAAATGGCCAAAGTGTGGACTTGGATGTGATGCATTGAAGTTTCCTTAGTTTCACAGCTAACTTTGAGAGACCAAACCCATGTTTGGCACAGTTATAACAGAAGGTACAACACCAACACAGCAACAGACCTAAGTAACAAAGAAACATACAATCTTCAAAAACAAGACACGTAACTACAAGCAAGGTGAAAATAATAGCTTTGCTTTCACAAACACATGACACGAGAATTAGGCGACAAACTTTTCCTCAGACTCCATAATCTGCACTTTCAATACAAAAATCTTCACAATTAATAACCTTTCGAAATGGGTGAAAGTTTGACCTCTGAACATCTCTCAATCACGTTGTGAACTCTGAAAGTGTGATCAGAAGGATCCAACAAAAAGATAGACTCTAAATATACCCAACAGATTAAGATCCCATAGATCTCTATTTTGCAAGTTCACCTAAAATGGAAGAAGAATACCCCAAAATAATGATAGAAACCATAGAGGCAAGAACAGTACAGAATAACGCATAAGGCTAGAATAACGCATAAGGCTGCTTTCCAGACCAATTTTTTTTTTTGAAATGAATGTGTACTGAACTCCCATTCCAACCACGTAGACACAGGAAAGAAAACAATGAGACTATATAAAGATACAATACCTTTGTTCCTATTTGTTGGTTACGCTTTCTACTTACGCCCACTCCTTTTTATTGAGGAAACTTTTGCTTTATTTCCTATTTTAGTAAACTTATTATTATAAAAACCCCAATTACATCACTCTCTACTGCTTTTAACTAAAATATACCCCTACACTCCCTCCTCTCCTACCCTCTTTCAGTTCAAATGTTACTAGTAAA